TCTTTGCAGAAAGTATATCTCGGCAGGGCCAGCGAGTCTTGTCTCTTATTTCTATCCTGGCATGGATCTCTAGACTTTACTTTTGCTTCAACTCTACTTTACAGAATAAAGGATGTAAGGTTATGTTGAACAGAAAGTGTGGAATATAAACTAGCTTTAGTCACAGCTCCTGCTCCAGAGGGTTTTTCTCCATAACTCTGTAAGCCCTGCGCTCAGCAGCACCCGTCGTCGCTGTGCTTTGCCTTTGTTCAGCAAGGTCCTGCTGTGGAGGGAGCAGAAAGCAGCACCTGCTCGGGAGCGACTTCACTGAGCACTCAGCTAGCCTCTGGTAACTCACTGTGTCATCAAGCAAACAATGACAGATGCCACTCTGTCATTAACGATGTGCTTACATTCTGGACAACAAAAACTAAAAACAAACCCTGATAAGGGTCTTGCTTGTCCAAGACTTGCTGCCTTCTGGGAGAGGTGCCTTCCTCTGGTATCAGGTGTCATGAAGGTGCTGGTGAGCCCATGTTCCAGCTACAGCCCCCTTCACTTCAATTTGTCCTGTGTAAGGGGAGTCACATGTACAGAGCTTCCTGAGGAAAGCCGAGCCCAAGCTTCTTTTGCAAGTCTGGTCAGTTCAGTCATGGGGGTGCTTCTGGGAAAAGAGTAATTTTGAAAAACCTGACTAAGCACCATTTGTGAACAATGGTGGTTTTCCTGTCATCCGAGGGCATTTCTTAGTATTTTGTAATTAAACTGGAAGTTCTCAGGGACACAGCCCATCTCTTTGGTCCACCATCCAGCGTCTGCAGCATGCAATGAGATTCTGACCAAGCATATTGTTAAAACAGCCAAAGCACAGGCAATAAATGAGTGATAACTAATAGCAAATATATGTGATTATCTCACAGTCTAACACACCTTTGTCTCATATTTTTCCACAGTACATTTGGTTCTTTTTTAGGATCTCAGAGACTACAGTGACAGCGCAGGTGTGTGCACGGGCAATATGGCTATATGCTATGGGAAGAAATTTAAACTAGCACCACATTGCCTTCCTTGGCTGTGGCAAGGAGCAGAGCCATAGCATCGTGTAGATCTCTGAAGGCAAGCACATGCTGCTCCTTAACTCTGCTTGCTAGCCTAGACAGAGAATTGTATTAATACAACTCTATTACTTTGGGCATCTTGAGTAGCTTGGCTTTGCTTACACACTTCTTGGCTGAGCTCAGAGCTGTGCATATATCCTGGGATGTAATTTGAATTCATGTAATGCAAAAGATCAGTACTGTCAGGTGAGAGTCCCAAAAGCACGCTGCATATCTGCCACTGTATCTTCGCGATATATGACCACCGCATCCTGCAGATACCAGATCTGCATAGGATCCTTCTGACTTCCAGATGGACAAGGCTTGAGCTGCCCAGGAGATCATCAGAGCGGAGTCCTAGGTAGCCTCTACCACTGTAGATGGCTGCTGGCTTTCAACTGGCAGGACACGGCAAGGAGGACTTAGGAGCCGTAAGAGTGACCATGGAAGCTCAGCTGTCTCTTCCTGGCAGAAGATAGGAGGTTTCTCCTCCATCAGCCCTACTCTGTACCTAGACTTCCAGATCTTGTGACATTCTAGGCCACTTGGCTTGAAGGGGAGCCCAAAGCACATGATTAAATGTGACGTCTGCCCTATGCAAAGCGCATTCAGTGACTGACTTCCAGCAGGACATGGTTACTGGGTATTTAAGTGCTTATGGCAGACAACAGAGACAAGGATTGATGGACTGCTGTTCATTTGGAGATGGAGGGCCTCCCACGAAAAGAGTCAGCAAGCTGACTCATGGTACTCTGACATACATTTGCTCAGGAAGATTCATCATGGCTAACTTGGTTTTCCGTCAGCATGATCTTATAGGCAGACCTTAAGATGCTCTAGAGACCCCGAACATGACCTTTGTTTCTCTCACTCTGATGACATAACTACTGGGAAAAAAAGTGCTAAGCAGCACAGAATCCATTTTGCTTGAAGACATTGGACAGTGAGTGGAACAAAAATAAATGCAAGTCTTGATTCAGTGACATCAGCATCTATGAAAACACTGTACCTCTGGTGCGGATTTCAGCTGCAGAGGGCTTCCTGTAGAGACCACAGAGAAATTAACTAGTGAGTAGATGATGCATATAGCTAGAAAATAATCTAAAATTCAAAATTAATTCAGTTTCAGCAGTGGTTTCCTGAAAATAAGCAATTATTTACTATGAATAGATACATATTTATCTTTTAGTGTTCCACAAGTCCAAATGATCTCTGGTACATCATTTCTACATTAAAAATACCTCAAACACCATCACAGTTCTTTCTGTTGTTTTTCCCCCAGGGAAAAAAAAAAAAAAAAAACAACAAATACTTGACAAGACAGAAACCGACCCCCATTCTCATTTCCACTAAGCACATCACTGAATAAAGAGGAAGCACATAGGTGGGGAACAATTCATCATCGCTTCGATTTGAGCCTTGACCCACAGCATCACGGTGCACGGACAGCCCTGGCCACTAGCCGTCACCAGTTTTTCATTCCAAGGAAGGTGGCGGAGCACGGTCAGAGTGAAGAAACTTTTGGGAAACTACTTCCAGTTTCTTAGAGGCTGGTTTACGCCCTGGAATCTGAAGCTTAATGATCTTTCTTTTGGAGGGCTTCTTTTTTTTTAATCCTTAGTATTACAGCTTTAGGCATTCCCTATCCATCTCCAAACCTTTCTGGCATCGTTCTAAATCCTTTCTTCAGACACGAGGTTTACACTCTGGCCTAAAAATGCAGCTATGGATTACACATTCATTATACTTCTGAACACAAGCAGGATCAGCCCTTGTAAGTATTTGGATAAGGGACAGCCTTTGAAAGCCCGGCGTCCTGTGGGAAATGCTGTGGCTGATTCACCAGTGCCAATACTCTGCCTGGTAATTCACAACCGGTGCTCTTGCAATTAGCAGGAGGAGACACAACCCCTAACGCTGCCAGCTGCTACCTGGGCTGCCTTGCTTATCTGCTGGCTTTTTCTTTGCCTGTCCCGTTTGTCCTCCTGTATTTTTTGAGAGATATTCTGCAACACCACCACGGCAATTAACATCAACTTATCGTAGAGATAAGGCAGACAAACAACAAACCGAAGAAGGCCGGAGTTTTGCTGGGTAGAAAGCACTTGGGGCGTGGGGGAGGGAAGGTCTGAGCGAGCAGAGGGGCTGTTCTCGCTCCCCTCTTGTAGGGGGGACGCGGGGCTGTGCGAGCCCCTCAAGGCGGAGCCGAGCGGGGTGAGCCGTCACCCCCCGCCCCCGCC